TGTTTAGTTGATTGTTGGCGTCATGTTCAGCTGATTGTTGGCGTCATGTTCAGCTGATTGTTGGCGTCATGTTCAGCTGATTGTTGGCGTCATGTTCAGCTGATTGTTGGCGTCATGTTTAGTTGATTGTTGGCGTCATGTTCAGCTGAATGTTGGCGTCATGTTCAGCTGAATGTTGGCGTCATGTTCAGTTGATTGTTGGCGTCATGTTTAGTTGATTGTTGGCGTCATGTTCAGCTGATTGTTGGCGTCATGTTTAGTTGATTGTTGGCGTCATGTTCAGCTGAATGTTGGCGTCATGTTCAGCTGAATGTTGGCGTCATGTTCAGTTGATTGTTGGCGTCATGTTTAGTTGATTGTTGGCGTCATGTTCAGCTGATTGTTGGCGTCATGTTTAGTTGATTGTTGGCGTCATGTTTAGTTGAATGTTGGCGTCATGTTCAGCTGATTGTTGGCGTCATGTTCAGCTGATTGTTGGCGTCATGTTTAGTTGATTGTTGGCGTCATGTTCAGCTGATTGTTGGCGTCATGTTCAGCTGATTGTTGGCGTCATGTTCAGCTGAATGTGATCGTGGAGTTGTTCTGTGTCAGCGTCGTGGTGTATCGTCTGTCCCTGTCATGGCATGTTGTCTGTCAACGTAATGGTGTTACAGCACCAGGTATGTTATTTGTCAAGGTCATGCTATGGTGATTGGCAACGTCATGGGATGCTGACAGTCTACATCGAGTTATTCTGTATCAACACCTTGATGTGCTTTTAGACCGCGTTGTATTTAACTGCGCTGGTTTACAGTGCCATGCTGTGCTCTGTTACACCGTGCCATATAGTACTGACGTATGACAATGTCATGCACTATAGTGCTCATAGTTCTCGATGTGCAATATTAATAAAATCTCTTTATTAATAAAAGGCATGTCGGCCAGCACTAGGACATGTCATATAGTTTGAAGACGACAGGAGGACCTATCCTAAGTGCTGTCATTGGGCCTGGTTGCCAGATAAGCGGAAGCATGCGTGGGAGGTCATTTCAGCCAGTGTTACACGCCTTGTCATTCGTCCTGCCTTCTTTTTGTCGTCCTGCCTTCTCTTTAATCATAAAGGTGAAACTTGACACAAGTAATATGAACAAGGTTGTATATTAGCTGATTTGAACACGACCGCCACAGTGGTTTTGTATATTTGAATCATTACCCAGTTTTGAGGGTGACTCCAATCTTATATATCTAACGCTACTACAGTAATAATATTGCAATACGTGCTTATGATCGCATCAATAGCTTCTGTGGAAGTGCTGGGAATCCAGGTCTGGTGTTTAACATGCAGCTGTGGAATCAATACTGGAAATATCACGAGAGCAATATTCAATGATTTAGGCATGTATCACTGAGTTTTCTTTGTGTCGAAGTTAATCGTTTTTATTACGACCCGAAGACAGGTATTTCAATATCTGAATCTATTAGGGTGTAAAAATAAAACAAATATTCAGGTGAGCTACAGAACCAGATAATATTTTCAGATAATCAGGACATAATTGCGGCCGAATTGCTAGGTATTATAAGATTTCATTACAGGTTCAATAGGAAATCTAAGCTTGAGTGAAACATCATTAGCTGCCATGTCACTGCGGACATTTCAACGTGGTTATCAATATTAGCTGTTCGAACCGTTCAGATCATACCCTGCTCGGTAGCGTTGGATATATTATTTTGAAACCCAATAACAGGCTGTGATTCAAAACATGTATATGTAATTGATATGGTAGCCAACAATGTATTCAGACTGACACTATGTATATATCTACTACATTACGATATATGAACAGGTCTGAAACATAATAGGAAGACAGGGTCACTGAAACGACCGCAATTTCCAATAGAGTTACATCCCTTGGGTGTGCCAGGTTCCTGTGATGCTGGGTTTGAATCCCAGTTATTTCACTGTTTATGTATTACCCGCGCCTAAGCGAGTCGTGATTGTATGTAACAGAACACACAAGTAACTTCTTCTTATGAAGTACATCAGGAATTATTTAAGTAGAGCCTCCTGCTAATGAATTTTGGACTGTTAATGTTCTACAGCTTTTGCATTCAAACGGTTTAGATTCCAGAAGAGGGTAGGGAAAGTTACCGCACCAGAACACATATTATGATTCTCATTTCTTTATGAATCAAAAAGTTCTAAACTGTGCCTTTGGTTCTCGGGTGTTTATGTTTTTGTGTGAATGTTGGTGTTAGTAACAACCTGACCTACTGCGCAAATTACGGTGTTTTGCAGCTGAAACTAATAACATCAAGTATCCCACATCATATATGTCTTTTGAGATTTATCTTATAAAATAGAGGCTCCACCTGGTATCAAGCCCCATGTTTCGATCGATTGTGCGGCACCCTACTTGGGTGGGGCTCTATAGCTATAGCAAATCGCAAGTCTTAACTGTATACAAGCATCACCATGATGACAATGTTTGATACACAGGCAACCTCCCCCTGTATGTGTGGCCCTAATTCCCAAATACACATTCATCTATAGCATGGTCTTCATAGTATGCACATGTCCATCACAATGTCCTAATTCACCTTTCCATCCTTTCAACCTAAAATATGGTCTTAATATGCATGAATGCATGATGACATCGTCTCCATACACAGGAACAGTTTTAAACATGACCCTTAGGTGCAGACACACATTCATTTTATAATATGGTCTGGATTCACACACACACACACACACACACACACACACACACACACACACACACACATATATATATATAGGATCTTAATGCGCATGCTTTCAGATGCATGCATATTTGATAAGATTGTCTCATAACGAATGCATGTAGTTTCGTGTACACTTTGTAATGAGAAATCTTGATGTACGATTTTTTGATAACAGGATCTCGACACCTGTTCACTGATGTATCTGATCTCGTGGCCGTAATGTACATCTTTCAGATACACAGACACGCGATAACATGATCATTAAATATGCAGACATCTGCTGGAGTCTGAACTGAGGTTTGTTTAACTGATAGGTTGTGTACTGGCTCTTTGTAACACATTATTGATTTCTTAAATGTGAGATACCAAGAAGAGTAGTGTGCTGGAATTCAAAACACGGTCTACACATCATAACAGGGGTACCTGGTATTATATGTGAAACAATGGTGACACACGGGCTTTTCCTCTGACAAAGGATTACGATTTCCGTGCATACTTATCATATATATGACCAAACCAAACATTCACGTATTGAATACCAATATATGTATCTTCCCTTTTATATAACTATTACTTACATATATCGTAAAGTCTCTGAAACCATAGAAAATAGATTGCACCCTTTGACATTTATTTGAGCATGGGACGGGTTATATTCACACCTGTCGTATTATTACGTCTAAGAAAGGTGAGCTTCAGTGTCTTGCTACTATTTTTCCTCAGGTCAAATTCGTGTAATAGGATAACGTGTCATTGTTTGTCATTGCGCGCTATGTGTGGATACCGATTACCCCCCCAAGAGGAATATTAGGTTGTCCGCCATGACATAACGCGTAACATTATAGCAATGTCGACAGTATTAAAATCATCCTTTTAGTAATGAAAGAGGGGCCATGTCATATTCGTCCTCTATCGAACATATCGTTCCATTGGCATATATAATGCTGAAGAAGGCTAAACGATTCGTGTTGAAAATTATGGAAAACGAAGCTACTAGTTCTGCTGGATTTGGCACCTGCCACCATATCGCTAAAGTAGATAGTAGAGCCGCCTAAGTATGTACTTAGTACAGACCACAGACACCATTTCCGTAGCTCGTCCTCACCAGATTGAGGTTACTCGCTGTAGCTCACCTGAATAACATAAGCATATTCTATTGCCCACTCAACAATCGCATGTTAACAACTACTCGTAGCTCACCTGATCACATGAACGGGCAGGTTTAGTCGTAGTAACATATCAACATATAAACATAAACTTACGAATCCTATGTTAATACGTTTACAACCACGTGTAGCTCACCTGATCACAGGAACGGGTAGTTTTAGCTCTCCTTTACAACACTGCGATAGTCGTAACCTGGCTCTGCCGTGCGTGCATGGGTTTACACACCAGTAAATAGTTAGATTCTCAATACATCTGTCTATACATGTATGTAGATTCTCAATGCACCTGTGTATATGTAGTTTCCCAATACACCTGTATGTATGTAGATTCTCAATACACCTGCATATATATGAAGATTCTCAATACATTTGTATATATGTAGATTCTCAATGGACCTGTATATATGTAGATTCTCAATACACCTGTATATATGTAGATTCTCAATACACCTGTATATATGTAGATTCTCAATGCAGCTGTATATATATAAATTCTCAATACACCTGTATATATGTAGATTCTCAATGCACCTGTATATATATAAATTCTCAATACACCTGTATATATGTAGATTCTCAATACACCTGTATATATGTAGATTCTCAATGCACCTGTATATATATAAATTCTCAATACACCTGTATATATGTAGATTCTCAATGCAGCTGTATATATGTAGATTCTCAAAGCACCTGTATATATTTAGATTCTCAATACACCTGTATATATGTAGATTATCAATGCACATGTATATATGTCGATTATCAATGCACCTGTATATATGTCGATTATCAATGCAACTGTATATATGTAGATTCTCAATACACCTGTATATATGTAGATTATCAATGCACCTGTATATATGTAGATTATCAATGCAACTGTATATATGTAGATTCTCAATACACCTGTATATACGTAGATTCTCAATACACCTGTATATGCGTAGATTATATGAGTAAAGGGATGTATGTTCTCATCACAATCAGTCGATCTTAAATTTTATGTCTTCTCGTTGATTAACTTGACTGAATACATCTGGAATGGAACTTGTGAACATGTGTTTGAATGACCTTGTATATGTTCTAACCGACAATGCTGTTTGTACACAGGTACGTACTACTGTCTAAACATGATCCTCATCACTCTATCATCGTTCCTTAACGCCTTCGTGGTCAACATGGCTTTCTACGGGCCTCGCAGACAGGTGCCGGACATTCTTAGAACGGTAAGTTGTCGGTGTATATTCCGGGGCATTTCTCCCTGTAACTAATTCATATTTGAATGTGACTTGTGGAGTTAATACAAACTGAAAGGATTTTGAGAGTTATCAGCATCCAATTTAGTTGGTGCGCAACTGTTTAATGTGTTACAGAAGCAACATGTGGTAGCTGAAGTGGTTACATGATAGCCGAAGTGGTTTGGTGGGGTTATCGGTACTTTTAACTGATGTGAATTCTCCTTATACGTGTTGGTGATAATGAATTGTAAGTGTTCTGATATATGTACTTGATGTGTACTGTAAGTGTTATTGGTACACGAAACTGATACAGTCTGGTCTTGACACGTGTACTTGATGTGTACTGTAAGTGTTATGGATAAGCGAGCACTAGAGTATGCAATAAGAAGAATATTAGATGTAGTCTAGACTGCAACCAAGGAAATTGATGATGCATGCAAGACTATGGACAGATTATGGACAGAACACAGTATACATCAGTAGTTTGGTGGGTGGAAAGGGGTTGGGTTGTTTGTATGAGAGCATCGAGGTTTAAATATTTTACCGGGAACTGTCTGTAAGAACAAGATAGGTCTTGGATGTATCCACAGGTTATTGTACAGAGAAGGGCTAGTGGTCACCTTAAGATGGTAAAAGATGCTTCCTTGCTTAAAAACCAACAAATACCTGTACGTTTACCTGCATTATTGTGCTCTAGTTTGCAATCAACTGGCTTCTAGAATTTTCCCAAATTGAATCATTAGAAGTGTCCCCTAATTTAGCCTACAGGGGCCCTGGCTGTTTGAATTTGTAGTATCAAGTTCAGCCATCGTATAAGCACGTAATGCTTGTCCAGAAAAGAAACTATTTATCTTGAGTGTAGATAAATATATCCTCTGCTTTCAACTAGACAGATATGTCCTTTTACTTGTAAGAGGTGTCCTCCAGCTTCCAGCCAGATAGATTTGCCCTCAAGTACACAGATAGATATGTCCCATAATGTGCAACCACTGTCTTGCAGTATGGAGCTAAGTTTGGCCCCTAGCCTAGAGAGAGATTAGTCTTCGGGTTAGCTATGAAATAGAGTTGTCCGTTTGTTGGCCTCAAGTCAGTAACTAGTCGATAATTCTTCTGATCTCTATCATAAAGACATCCAGATTAGTTACAATATATTCATTTATACGATGGATTGAATGTAGATAGTGTTTATATTCAGATAAACAGTCGCAGTAAGGAGAATAAACATTATTAGTTCCCAGGAAACTCGATTCACGTATAAATGTATAGACTTACTGGAATTAACAAAACGGCAGTTAACCTTGCTTACTTCCAGGAAGTCCTGGCACTGTATTTTTTGTCTGTAAATTGTATTAGTATATGGTAGGACAGGGGAGTCGTTTTAACCAACACCTGGTGACATCATTGTTCTGTGGTCCATTTCACCATCGTTATTCTTTTTACGCCTACTGGAATCTTTTTGAGCAGATAACTGAAACTGATTATTCTGTGGCGTTGACATCATATACTGGGTATTCGCCGGCGTTGATATTATATACTGGGTATTCCGTGGCGTTGATATTATATACTGGGAAATTTGTGGCGTTGACATCATATACTGGGTATTCTGTGGTGCTGACATTATATACTGGGGTATTCTTTGGCGTTGACATTATATATTATTAGATGATGTTTCAGCGTATGTAGACATAACGTTGCCCAAGTAATTATTTATCACGAAGTTAAGATAATTTATCCTGCTGTCTTTCCTAAAAATATAGGGCGGTGGGGTAGCCTAGTGGTTAAAGCGGCGTAAAACCAAACTCAGTCAGTCAGTCCTAAAAATATAAAAAAGAGATAATGTGACGATCAAAAACCAAATGGACTCTGCAACATATCTCATGTCTCTTATGTCGATTTTTTTTGCAGATTATCTTTAGTTTCTTCGGGAGAATTCTATGCATGGACAATTTAGTGCAGCCGTACTTGGACGCGGCCAAAGCCCGGCGCTTCCAGTCGGCGGACACTCATCCGTTTGTAGGTGTGAACGGTGACAGTACGAACTGGGGCTCGAAGGAGCCTAGCGTCCCTACTGACTTACTTTTACATTCACGACAGTGCTCGAATGATGACGAGTCAGTGCAACAACTGTCCCTTATAGACTATCACCTGTCGGAAGTCATGGAGTTCTTGCGCAACTACCGGGATCGGCTCGCTGACAAAGACCGCAAGGACAAGATCAGCAAGGAGTGGAAGGCAGTGGGGCTGGTCTTTGACAGAATATTTTTCATAATCTACTTAACTACAATAGTCGTCTCCATGTGCGTCCTTCTGCCTATCATCACGCTCAGCCATGTCAACAAATAGTACCCATTGTCACACTTCTCTCACAACCTGAAAATCACAGAAATGCCGTCACAATATCACACAAGCACAGACACACATAAACAAACACATTCACATGTGAAAAAAAAATATATATGCACGCACGCACGAGCGCACACATACACAAAAACTACAATCTCATGATGAAGCTTCGTTGGGTTGCTATTCACACTGAAGCCTTTATTTAGAAATAAAAGATTATGAGAGTCACATGGATTACTTCCGTTAGTTCGAAGGTTTAACATTAGCATATACACACAGTGTGCCCGATATAACAGTCGCAGGGAGACGACGTCTTGTGTTTCGGTGGAGCAGCGTAATATATGAACTCAACCCGAAAAACAGCGAAGTGATATGATTGCTTGGAATGAACTTGTTAAAGGCAGGAAGGCATGTGCCCAAACCACAGTCACGTTGATCATACACAATTTCTAAATGTCTGAAGGAACATCAATGTGCTGGAGACGTTCGCTGTCAGACAGCGCGTGTTGTCTACACATCATACATGATCACAGCCCATCGACGTCAGCATCATCATCCTAAACATCTACGCCGTCAGGTCTGCATGAACGTCATCGACCGCCTCACTGCTGAGTAACATTTCCGATCTAGAGCTGCACATTGCAACATTACGTCAAGTGAACTTTACCTGTTTCACGTTGTTTACTGTTGAGATTGTGTTGTGAGTATTCGCCTGATTGTCTTGCCGTCTGTTTTATCTAGACGTATAGTGGTTGCGCTAGTCTAGCGCTGTATGGGGAATAGTAAGGAGACCTGGATACACCGTTCACCCACAGGTATATGCATGACTATCAAGGCTGTCATGGTAATGACTGCCATCATGGTGACAAAATATTTAAATCTCTACCCGTTCCTTCGGAATAGTAAAGCTCATTTAAAATGAGAATTATTTAATTATCCGAATTGATAATGTATGCTTCAGATAATCTACCCTTCTCAATGCACATCGAATGATTACCGTTTATCTTTCTATAAGCTGTTTCCATGACTATGTCCCTTGTAGAGCAATGGCCATGGTTGTGGGCAATCTTTCCGCTGTCGGCTATAGATAGACGTGCGCTCTGTGCAGTAGGGCCGTTCGTAGCTGTAGATGCAAGTACTCGCTCGTGTATCTGTTTGATGTAGGGATAAGATTTGCTGTAGAAATACAGTATTCAATTTATTTTTGTACTTCGCTGCTGGCACCTTCACAAGCAGTTTTACTATAGAGAATGTGTGGCCAATGTTAGCTGTGATACCCTGAGGGAAACATGGAACTATTGCATACTGACTTAACATAACACTGGCAGGTTACTCACTGTCTCCCCTGTATAGAGACATAGCACATGGACTTTATTGCCTTCCATTTATCTTTATTGTTGTTGTTCAAAAGAATTTGTGAAAATATGTATAAGATACGTTTTGGACGCAAAATGTTCCACATTTCTCACCAAACTGATCCGAATAATGTGTGTAGGTTCATGGGAAGTAACGTATCCTTTTTGTCGATTCCTCACTCTAAGGTTGGCATCCTCTCCGCCGTCGGTTATTAACTACAAACCATTGTAACAGTTGTCACGTCTTGGCCTGATGGACAGTACGCAGGACTGCGTGGGCGTGGTCTGATCGTCTTCTGGGCAATATCGTTGTCCGAGGAAGACATGCTCATGTCAGTTTACTGTTGGTACCACCTTGTGAGCAAGACGTGCACCATGTCTGTTTACTGTTGGTACCTCCTTCTGAGCAAGACGTGTCCCATGTCTGTTTACTGTTGGTAACTCCTTCTGAGCAAAACGTGTCTCATGTCAGTTAACTGTTGGTACCTTCTTCTGAGCAAGACGTGCACCATGTCAGTTTACTGTTGGTACCTCCTTCTGAGCAAGACGTGCACCATGTCAGTTTACTGTTGGTACCACCTTCTGAGCAAGACGTGCACCATGTCAGTTTACTGTTGGTAACTCCTTCTGAGCAAGACGTGTCCCATGTCAGTTTACTGTTGGTAACTCCTTCTGAGCAAAACGTGTCTCATGTCAGTTTACTGTTGGTACCTTCTTCTGAGCAAGACGTGCACCATGTCAGTTTACTGTTGGTAGCTCCTTCTGAGCTGGATGTGTCCCATGTCAGTTTACTGTTGGTACCTTCTTCTGAGCAAGACGTGCACCATGACAGTTTACTGTTGGTACCTCCTTCTGAGCAAGACGTGCACCATGTCTGTTTACTGTTGGTACCTCCTACTGAGCTGGACTTGTCCCATGTCAGTTTAGAGTTGGTACCTTCTTCTGAGCAAGACGTGCACCATGTCAGTTTTCTGTTGGTACCTTCTTCTGAGCAAGACGTGTCCCATGTCAGTTTACTGTTGGTACCTCCTACTGAGAAAGACGTGTCCCATGTCAGTTTACTGTTGGTACCACCTTCTGAGCAAGACGTGTCCCATCTCTGTTTACTGTTGGTACCACCTTCTGAGCTGGATGTGTCCCATGTCAGTTTACTGTTGGTACCTCCTTCTGAGAAAGACGTGTCCCATGTCAGTTTACTGTTGGTACCACCTTCTGAGCAAGACGTGTCCCATCTCTGTTTACTGTTGGTACCACCTTCTGAGCTGGATGTGTCCCATGTCAGTTTACTGTTGGTACCTCCTTCTGAGCAAGACGTGCACCATATCTATTTACCGGGTACTGCTGTTATATAATCTACTCACGACGGCTAGTTAATCTGTTCACTACAATGGTTGACGTGTATGTAGGATGTGTTCCAGCTTTATACAGAGTGTGGAAATTGTACAGTTCCGTATTCCATAGCAATATATATGTCAGCTGAAGTGGTTCCACTGTTGCAGCCTCAGTAGCTTCACTATAGAACTAATTGTTGTCTTTTCATATTATATCTAGCTGCAGAGAATGTAAGACTCTCGCCAATCACTATGTCCCAAAGAACAGCCAAACGTAGATGATATTAGCTTACACACTTCCCAAACGATAACAATACCACTTTTTCACATATACTAGTAGATAAATATACGAGGTGGGTGGAGCTTATGGTTGGACATTGGCACACATCCCTCATTCCTGGGCTAGTGTGCTTCCACTTCACGTCAATCTGACATGTACCCGGATGTCGGTACACTGAATGGTGAAGGGTGGGGTGGGTAGATTGGCAAAGATGGTTAATGATGGGGCTTGGAAGGGGAAGGGGTGTCTAACAACCTCAACGAAATATATCTGTTATCAGTTGTACTAGATGTAGAATTTGGACGCCACATTGGTGCGTCAAAGACCACTAACTCGCAGCGTGTCCCTATAGGTCTACGTGACATATTCCTGAAAGTCATGTAGAACACTGCACTGGCTAAGGCCGCCCTCTAGCGGCCACTGTGACACACAGGGGAGGTCACCGACATACATGGGGGTAAGCATAAGATATCACTGTGAATGCATCACAATGTTTTGTATATAAATGCTCGTTTTATACATCTGTGTTGAGTTTTGTTGTGAATTATCACCAGATGGTAATGCAGCGTGGATGTCTCGGCTTGACGTCAACATACAGCTGAGACAACATACCCAGCGATCTATGTACCTGTATACAAACACAAATAAAACCCGCATCTTCTTACTTAAACCCAGGGCCTCGTTCAAGAACAATACTTAAGCGCTGTGATTTGTTTATGTCAACATATATACCACACACGAAGAGACCCGCCATCACTGCATGTGAGCTTAGACATAAACCACAGTTCAGAATCAAATACTTCGCAGTCACATCTTGTTACACCTCTGAAATCAAGTATAACCATTACCCAATACATACCTAACACAATGCCATGAAACAGTTTGTGAACATAACACATACAAAATAACGAATCGGTATTAAGAGAACTATGTATCTATTAGAGATCGGATTAAAAGGGTTCGTTGAAATGTTAGACCACACAATACTTAATACATGTATGCATATTTCGTAATAGATAAAGCCGGGTCTATTATAACATGGTAGCATATGTAGTCATGTATACTCATGCCAATAATGGTTGTCCCCCCCTTTAATTTTTTCATTGGAGAGGGGTTGGGGGTGTGAGGTGTGTGTGGGGTTGGGGTCTGAAGGGGGGTGACAACCATTATTGGCATGAGTATATTTCTTACATCTTCACATGATGTAGCATAAGACCTCTTAGTGGGAAACACCTTAACATGTGAAAGTAGATATGTATTATTTTCGGGAAGACAGCGTGACAACTGTGGTCGAACATGTCACGCGTGTAGGTATTAGCAGAACATGTGGATTGAGAGTGTGACAGCGTGACATTTAAATATATCCCAATAGAAGTCATGGCGGTTTTTAGAAACTTTAACCTACTGATATATAGTTCATGTTAGCACTGTGACACGTTTGTATATATACACCATAATATTCAGGATGTGGGTTTACATGAAATCTTCGAAAGCCTGTCCATTGTCATAAAACATATCTGCAAAGAACACTTATCACTGAATGTTTACGACAAAGGCAAAAGCATGTGTTCATGAAACACTATCAAATAGTGATAATTAAAGTTGGTGGTGGTAAGGTGAGTGTATTCTGCCCATCCGCTGTCACCCGTCACAAACACACCCAACGGCTGGTCAATTGTCCACATGAAAATATCGATATAATACAATTATATCTATGTAATAACATTTGATAAAATAATCAAATAGAGAATTCACTTCCAGTGCATTAGAAACAAAAAGAACAGCAAAACGGCTTCATCTGTTTGGTATTTTCCAGTTTGACTATTGCTTTGTAAATAAAGTACATTGTGACGGGTGCCAACAATTGGACCGGATATGTTGACCTTTTCATTGATCTCTGGTATCATGACTATTTCATAGTGAACCATGCTTTTGAAAGAGTTTTCTTATGGTAATGGACATGTTTTAACGCTTTTCTAGAGGCTGGCACTACAGGTGCAGGTGCACGTACATCGTTAATTCTGTAATAAAATACCTAAAGCTTCCTATTTTTCAGATAACTGATTTAAAATATTTACCTTATGATATCACTTGTAAAACCTGTAAAGATTGGTACAGCTTACACACAGGCATTACTAACACACACATACACATACACACACATATATATGTATGTACATATATTGACTTGTACATATATTGACTTGTGGACACAGTGAGGAGTTATCTACAAGCTGTATAGATATGCTCCTGTGAGATGAAACGCGATACATAGAGTACATTACGGCATCCCCTGGGACCAGAGATAATAAATACTTCTTTCGTCTTAAAGAGTTTGATAATTTTGTAATAATTCATAGATATGAGAGAAATACGACTGCGGGGTATAACACTCCAATCTATATGCTTATCTGTATGGAGAAAATTATATTTGAGGTCATTTTTTTAATAATCTGTAAAAATAACTTAGGAGATGTGAAGGAGTATGGCATGCCAAGATATGGCAGTATGGTTGCAGCCTATGTCCTCCTCCATCCGTGAAACTACCGACAAGGGATAATATAAGTATACACTTGGAAAGTGGGTCACACATGATTACACGTTATCAAAACGTGTTTAGTTTGAAGTCTCAGAAACACTTAAGGTCCTGTGTATAACTGTGATACCCAGATTAGATACATCTAAAAGGAACAACCATGTTTGTTTTCAATTTTAATACCATGAAACATGGCAGTAGGAGCTGGTAAGGCGGCTGACATCCACGTCCACGCCCACGTTCACATCCACGTCCACGTCCACGCCCACACCCACGCCCACGCCCACCTCCACATCCACGTCAACGTCCACATCCACGTCCACGCCCACGCCCACGTCCACGCCCACCTCCACCTCCACCTCCACGTCCACGTCCACGTCCACGTCCACGTCCACGTCCACATCCACGTCCACGCCCACGCCTACGTCCACGCCCACTCCCACTCCCACTCCCACTCCCACTCCCACTCCCACTCCCGCTCCTGCTCCCACTCCCACGCCCACGCCCACGCCCACGCCCACGCCCACGCCCACCTCCACCTCCACATCCACGTTCACGTCCACGTCCACATCCATATATGCACGTCCACATCCACGTCCATGTCCACCCACACCCACGTCCACGTCCGCGGCCACGTCCACGCCCAAATCCACATCCACGTCCACGTCCACATCCACGTCTACATCCACGCCCACGCCTACGTCCACATCCACGTCCACGTCTTTATCCACATCCACTACCACCCCCATGCCCACGCCCACGTTCACGCCCACGTCCATATCCACGTCCACACCCACATCCATACGCACGTCCACATCCACGTCCATGTCCACCCACATCCACGCCCTCGTCCACGTCCACGTCCACGTCCCCACCCACACCCACACCCACACCCACACCCACACCCACACCCACATCCACATCCACACCCACACCCACACCCACACCCACGTCCACACCTACGTCCACATCCATGTCCACATCTTTATCCTCGTCCACGTCCACGCCCACGTCCACGTCCACATCCACATCCACGCCCACGTCCACGTCTCCTCCCCTCCCACTTCCATTCCCATTCCATCCTCACCACTGCTCTCCCCCCTTCTTCCTCTCTCTCTCTCTCTCTCTCTCTCTCTCTCTCTCTCTCTCTCTCTCTCTCTCTCTCTCTCTCTCTCTCTCCCTCTCTCTCCTGTCTGTTTATCCGCTAGACTGCTCTCTTCGTGCAGGTGTGCATATAAACATCTGTCTATACTCCTTGATTGCATTATGTAATGTTTCCCCGATCTACTCGTTACGTGTATAGAACCGTATCGGCTATTGTTGTAATGCCGGTTGCCTGCATTATGTTGTAGATTTCCCCCTGGAATCCCGCCCTGCCGTGTGTCCCTTGTATGTCTCCACGGTCTGTGGGTGCACCCGACACGTGCCGGAGTGGGTGCGACGCACGCTCATGCCATTTCATACCCCCTGGGAGCTAGGTGCAGTAGTGAATCATAGGTAGACAACTCATTCGTGTTATATTTGGGCCAGGGGTATGCACTAAGATTGAAATAAAACCATCAACCTTTTCACCCGATAGAGATCTACTGTATCAGCTTATATCATCATCACTTCCATGTTGACTATCGTTACAACTAGGTATGGAACTCTGCATCTGGAGCAAAGTCCTTCCGCTGGTCACAACTTGGATCCTAACCTCCGGGTACTAGTTCCAGTTAGGGGTCCTACTCCCAGTACCGTGGGTTACAATTAAATGAACCACGTTCAAATAGCTACCATAGAAGTTAAATACAAGCGATAAAACATTTCCATATTCATAAGAAATCTCTGTCAAAAGCTGGGTCACTTGTACTATTCCTTGGTCCACTATGAATCAATGAATCATACAAGGTGTTTCTGAAAGCTGATGGCTCTTGGAACTGTACCAGCGACTACAACCTGGTCATCCCATCCTACCTGGCAGGAAGTGATCATTACAACAATTTTCGAGCCTGTTGACGGTTTCCAGTTATCAAGTTTGGAGCCTTTCGGATCCTTACAGGTTTGAAACCAGCATCCGACACTGAGTGATGACGGATCAGACCAGCACCAACACGTCTCACCGGTCATTACTACCAAGTAAGGTTCCGGGCATTATTGTCATGTATGGAGCCGGTGGACTGTAGCGATTCTGGAGCCGGCCTCCAGTCGGGGTCTGGAGTCG